AAAATAAAAAATAATAAAAATATTTATTTAAGTTCATATAGGCCTATATAATAATAGTAATAATAATAATTATTATTATTATTATTTTAAATGTTTAAAATTAAATTGAATATTTAGGCTAAATTAAATGAAACTGTTATAGCCTATATAAAATATATATTTTAAATATGTAACATTTTTAGATATAAAAATATATATTTAAAAAATTTAAAAAGTTATCTAATTGCAGAAATGTATGAACTGAGCTTTTAACTCTGCTCTTCAGTTTTGAAAGCAACACCAACACGCGCAGTGACGTCGGTGATTTTAACGGGACAGTTCCAGCAGCGTCGCGTCGCGTCGCGCGGCGAGTGTGTTTAACGCGCGTGTATTGTGCAAACGCGGTTTTCCGTGGGAGGAGCCTGAACTGATGCGTTCTGATGTGAACGTAAATCTGCGCGTTTGTTTCCGTTCACATAGAGAAACACGGAAACGTTCGTCGCGCGCTGAACCGTCACAAAAGCCGCGTTTAACAAGGTCAGAAACAGCAGCGGAGCGACGCGAGCCGGTTGGTGTCTTTATTCCTTCATTCGTGTGGTTTGGTGAGCGTTATTGACATGTGGACGCGTGTTTACCTGCGCTTGACGATGATGAGCCCCACTTCCTCTCTTCAGTGCCGCAGAAAAGTGTCTCAAAGTCTGCCACAGTAATCCTGTGCTGTTTTCTCGAGAACTTTAGAGTTTGCTTCTGAATGTTGAGAATATGAGTATATTGATCTTTCACTGAGATGCTGAGATATGACAGATAATGATGTGTATACATTTAAATTTTAAATAAATGTATGCATTTAGCAGACGCTTTTATTCAAAGCGACTTACAGTGCATTCAGACTATACATTTACTACCAGTATGTATATAGTGTATAATGATGGAAAAATATATTTATAAGTATTAAATATTGATGGGGCAACAAAATGTGTGCGAAAAAAAATGTTTGACAAGGTTGTTTGATTAAAAATAATCTGCCCCACATTTAATACAAAAAAATTATATATATATATATATATGTATTAACTTTTAGGAGTGAATTTGCGCATATACATATCTGTCTGCATGTAATCTTATTATACTAAAGCCTTTAATCATAATTTTTAAGGTATGACTACAGATAAAATGGATTATGCATGCATAGTTTTGTGTGTTTGAGATGTTTTAGGTGTGTTTTGCTCACTGTTAGTCACTGTTACGTGACTAATTGCTCATTTACTGTATGTTGATTCATCTTTTTTTGATAAATCATCATCTCATCTTCGATCCAGTTCTGCATCTTTCTCTGGACTGTCACAATCAATCACTCCCTTATTATCTGATTTTCGCAAAAAAAAAGTGTGCCGGCACTAAGTAAGTAGAACATTTATGACTCGATTACGCCTGTAAATTGATCTACAGTTGTAAAAAGATTATGAATACGGGTTTTATTTTTTATAATACTATACTTTCCAAACTCTATATGTTAAAAACACACATTGGCACATTTTTTTTAATATATAGAGTTGGACAGTGTGATGATATGATACTAAAATCCATTTTCATAATCTTGTTGATACTGTAATCAATTTATGTTTATGTATCAGTGTTATTTTAGTAACATTTAGATACTATTGTAGTTTTTAATAATATTTTGAATTCATTTTTATTTTCATTTATATTTCATTTTAGTTAATTTTTTTAGTCATTTTGTTGTTTATCATTTTTTTATTGTTCTTTTATTTCTTTATTTATTTTTTACAAAATGTCTATATAGTTTTTATTCATTTTTCAGTTGAAGTTATTTTAGCACATCAAGTTAAATTAAGTGAGAATGAGAAATATTGCCTTGAACATTAGCAAAAAAAACCAAACATTTACGTTTTATGAATTGTGTTTTAGTTCAGTTAACGTTTATTTTATTCAAAGTTAAAAATAAATAATGGTTTTAGTTTTTAGTAAACTATAATTACCCTGTTATGTAAGTATTTATTATAGTTAAGCAATTATGACGCCATTCTAGTTAAAAGTACACTGGAGAACTAGCTTGAGGAAAACAGGAACAAAATAATATCAAAAAATCCCCAAATGTTTGTTTGATCAGTGCACGGGGTTCAGATGGAGCAAATATAATGAGCTCAGTATAAAAGCAACAGAAGTGAATGGTAAATTCCCACCATGATGTAAAATCAGACGTGTGTGTTGTATTGTGTTCTCAGTACAGTTACGTGACTAATTGGCCACTTACTCTCCGCCGATAGATTATCTGACCGGGTCTTGTGGCCCCTGCGGCCCCTCTCGTCCCCCATCCATGCGTCTGTCTCTGGACGAGCACGGCATCGATCACACATAATCCGATTTCCCCCCAAAAACAAATAATGAAGCGTTTCTGGAGCTTACCCTTTTAAGTAATTTAGCGATTCGCTCAAACTTGAGCGAATCGATGAAGTGGGTTTTGAAAGATGAGTCTAATGAATTCCCACGATGCCCTAATGCATCTCAGCGATATTAAAACGCACATTTGTGACGCTCAGATAAGCAGGATGGAGATTTTATCTGAATTGGAGCGTTTGGAGATGATGCCGTTATTTTAGACTCATCACACTAACTGCTCTAATTAGGTTTTCGATCATTTTATTTAGTCTCAGCTGAGACTCTGCCGAGAATTTGGGTCCGTCTGCTGCTGCTGCTGGTGTGTGTCGCGTTGTTTTACATTGTAATTAATTTCTTTATCCAAACAAAACTGAAACCTACTTAGTTCATTTACAGTATTCAACTTTTTGCATCTTACAGGTAATTATACGTTTTAAAGACACACAGCTTATTTAAAAGGCCGGTTCATTTACTCACTAGGCCTGCATGAATTTATTTTCATCTGAAGAACGCAAAAGATTATGACCAAACAACATTGGACCCCATTGTCTTTCATTGCATATACAAAAATATTTTTTTTTATTTGAAGTGTCTTCGGGTGAACTGTCCCTTTAATTCTAATAGATAGAAAAATGATTATGGAAAATGTAATTATTAGACTTACTGTATTTGGTGCAAAAATGGTTGTATCTAAGCGGACCTCAGTGAAAATTGTTAAATGCTGCATAAATCAGGGCCATAAAGTAAATAATAAAATAATAATGAATAAAATGTAATAAAACAATATTACATTTAAATATTATAAATAACATAATTATGAAATTAAATAAACGTTTTTAGGCTAGTCTGTCTCAGCGCTCATCGGTGTCAAAATTATTGGTGGGGCTTAGGGATGTAACGGTATGAAAATTTCTTATCACGATTATAATGACCAAAATGATCACGGTTATCAGTATTATCACGGTATTGTTCAAATGTGCTGGAAATGTTCAAAAAGTACTGACACACAAATCATTTCACCAAGTTTTACATTTAAAATCAACAAACAACAAATAAAATGAGATTTTGTTTGCATAACTAAAACAATAACATTGCCAATGATTAATCGTTACATCCCTAGTGGGGCTTTACTGTTCACAGTAGACTAGTGCAAATTCCAGCTCAACATCTCAGTTTTAACGGGGAAAGAGTGCGAGGTGAGATGTAAGGTAGCTAAACGTTTAATATCTGACTGTGTGACGACAGAAATGTGAAAAGACTGACATATAATATCCAGTGACGCAAGCTACTCTACTTTTTTTGTCGTTTTAAAGCAAAAGTTCACCTTAAAATGAAATTGTCCTCATTCTCATGCCATTCAAGATGTAGATGATCAGATTTGGAGAAATGTAGCATTGCATCAGTGTCTCAGCAATGGATGCTCTGCAGTGAATGGGTGCCGTCAGAATGAGAGTCCAAACAGCTGATAAAAACATCACAATAATCCACAAGTAATCCACACCACTCCAGTCCATCAGTTAACATCTGGAGAAGATAAAAGCTGAAACTAATACATCAAGATGTTTTTAACTTCAAACCATTTCTTCTGGTCAAAATACAGTCCATAATCCATAATAACGCTTCCTCCAGTGAAAAAGTGGTATGGTCTGAATCAGGAGAGAAACAGATCAAGCACCGTTTACAAGCCAAAACATCTCTAAACAAATATGTGAGTGGAGTTTGATATGAGAGACAACAGGAGATGGACATTTTCACGGGAGGAAATGTTATTATGGATTATGGACTCAATGGAATTAATGGCTTGAAGTTAAAACGTCTTAATAATGGATTTGTTTCTTTTTTTATTGCCTTAAATTCTGTTAAATTCTAAAAGGATTATATTATTTTATATAAAAGCGACCATTATCAAATGGTCATGAAACTGGTCCAGTTTGCTTCCCCACAATGTTCAAGACATGGTTACAGCCTTGGCATAAATATGATAAATATATGATATGAGGCCATTAATAAATCATTAAGTTAAAGGCTTTTTAACCCATTTATTTTTTATTATGAATCACTGTGTGTGAAACCATTAGAATTTTTTATCGTTGGGTGTGTGAATGATTACTCAGTTGTTGGTAGGTGTGTGTGTGAGAGTGTGTGTGTGAGAGTGTGTGTGTGTGTGTGTGTGTGAGAGTGTGCGTGTGTGTGTGTGCGGGTGGGGGCGTGAACCTGACTACACAAAGACTCATGGGGACTCGTGTCACGGTGGGGACCTAAATTGAGGTCCCCACGGGTACAAAAGCTTATAAATAAATCAGAATTAAGTTTTTTGAAAATCTAAAAATGCAGAAAGTTTCCTGTGAGGGGTAGGTTTAGGGGTAGGGTTGGTGTAGGGCAATAGAATATACGGTCTGTACAGCAGAAAAACCATTACGCCT